AGAGAGAGAGAGAGAGAGAGAGAGAGAGAGAGAGAGAGAGAGAGAGAGAGAGAGAGTGCTGGAAGAAAGGTTGAATGAAATAACGACAGCGCTGAGGAAAGAAAAAGAAGGAAAAGGGGATGTTGAAGGAAAGAAAAATCATCAGAAAGAGATGATGAAGACAAGAAAAAGCATGACAGAAGAGCTGAAGAAGGAAACAACGGACCGCACCGAGGAAAGAAAAACGATGAGAGAAGAGAGTGATGATGGAAAGAAAGAAAGAAGGACGCGCACAGGGAAAAGAAGAAAGAAGAAAGAAGAAACAACGAGCACAAGAATGATGATGATGATGATGATGATGATGATGATGATGATGATGATGATGATGATGATGATGATGATGATGATGATGATGAGTGGTTACAGAATGCTGAATTGCAGTCCACTACCGTGCTCAAGAAAGTGGTCAAAGCCGCCATTATGCATTCAGTAAAAAGTCGCTTATACCGACGCTTAAATGTGCACTGCAAGTGATTTTTTTGTGTTTTAGAGACAACACTTTATCATTTACAAAACTCTGTCCCTAATAGTTACAATTTTGTTTTGCATTTCCTAATATTCTAAATTTACCAAGTGTCATGTTTCTTTTTGGAAGAGTATACAAGAAAAACATTCATCTCCCCACGAAAATCCAACTCATGTCCTCTGCATGCAACAAGGGAGAGCCTTTCTCTTATACATGTATTACAGACGCCTCGTCAATTACATCATAGTACTCAAAGGGATGTTAAAACCATACCAAATAAAAATATAGAACATGTCTTAGGATAATGAGAAGTTCTGAATCTCGTAAGATCAAACTTGGATGTATAATTTGAAAGTGGTGAAATGGTATAGGTTTAACGCCCCTACCAACACTACTAGGTTTTGTCTGAGGCGTGACCTCTGAGTTTAACGTCCATCTCCGAAAGGACCTGGACAAATGGGAAATTCGTGTAAAGTGCGTTTCCTAAGAACACAACATCGGACCAAGCTCAGGCTCAAACCCCGAACTCGCTATCTCACGATTACAGGTCAGGTAGCCTAATCAGTAGTCCAGCGACGCCGAACTATAGTTTGTTAGTCTACTCCGTCACCTAGTGGGCTGCAACTACAGACTTCAACATAAGTTAAGGACCACCTTGACAGACAGCCTGATTTTTTTAATGAAAAAAAGACAGCAAGGAATATTTCAAAACTTTTTTTCCTCTTAAAGTGTCAATGGGTTAACAATTCGTACTGCAAAGCTTCCCAAAGGAGCAAACCCACAACGTGCAGCACGGAAATCATTGGGGAATTTTAGCCAAATTTTCAAATGGTCCTCAACTTATGTTGCAGTCTGTACAAGCACAATTGTGGGAAAGAGTTTTGAGTGTTTACTCATCTCTCTCTGGTGGTTTGTCTCACTTTCATTGCACCTGCCAAACACGCCAGCCATTTCACTTGCTGATCACATTAGAAATCTAAAAGCAATCTAGACCGTGAGTCAGAACAAATTATGAAACAATCGAAATTCGTCATCCACGACTAAACAATTCCCCTTTTTCCTATTGTGCTTATCTTATTTCTTTTTTCTTGAAACATAACAATTTGCATCATTTCAATACATTTCAACGCAACCTACAAATTAATATCGGCACCAAAATCAGGACACTTGACCCCCCCAAAAAATCAAAATAACAATCGAAAAAATAAATCATGTGTAATAAAATCGTGTTTTTTGTCTTTCAGTTATAGCCTACCCAGGCATTCGCTGTCCTCGATCCTCAGACGACTGCCAGTGCCCACATGGACCTGTACACTTCATACTAGATCGTTTTGGATGTCTACGGTGCTTCTGTGAACCTGACATTTGTCCTCATGACGAGTGCCATTTCTATTGTCCCAATGGAAAGGTCAAAGACACAAATGGATGTGATACATGCGTGTGTAAAGAAAAGGGCCCGTCAGTGTGCCCCGGCAGGCTGTGTGGGGAAATCTGCCCCAATGGCTACGAAATAGATGAACGTGGATGCGAATTGTGTACATGCAAATCAGATCCCCCTTTTTGTCCATTTAGCTGTTGGTCCGGTTTTCGCCATTTCTGTCCGATGTTTGTACGCAATGCAGATTCTTCCAGATGTCTAGTGTAAGATATAAGTTCAACTCCCAGATCGTTGTCTTTAGAAATCAAAAGCCTTCCGGGTCTCAACGTTCATGTTTTAGATTCTAACGGACATAAAACTCTCCACTGGAAGCCAGTAAAACAGTTTACATTTGGTCTGGACAAATAATTGTCCCGTTTACTGCTTTGGTAGTCACATTTTAGGTCCAGTTATAATTAGCAATTTTACTAGGCGTTCGCTGTGTGCAAAACACATTCTAGATTTCACTTAAAGATTAGAAAGGCAACTGGAATAATCCATCTGATTTCCCATGCATGTTTGCACCAGTACAAATATGTGCAACGCTAAAATTAAGTTTAATTTTACCCTCTTTTCCTTTTAATAATAATCGCATGATCAGGGCAGATTAACCTAGGATAAAACACCTCGACGACGGCTAAATAACATTCATGAATATAATATGCACATAAATGTACTTATAACATGAAATATATTCTTTTCACCGTCTTTTACGCTTTAAAAAAA